TAATTATGGATATTAATAAGAAAAAAAGAAGAGGGAGGAAAAACCATGCTTATTAGAAAGCGATTGATGGATGGTAATTTTCGAAGAGAAGAGATTAAAAATAATTGCGTAATATCAGAGGGCTCATAATTAATGATGTACATGAAAATTAGGGATCTAGTTATCAGATTTCGGAAATGATATTGCAGATTGAAAGATGTCCGATAACTATGGATCGGCCTGTAAAAGTTTGTCTTAACGATCTGTACAGAGCTATCAACAAGAAACGTGAGAAGAATAACCGAGGTGCTAATCGCGAAGGGAAACGAGCGATTATTATCCCATAACGCGAGAATGGCTATTGCAAAATTCTTTATGAAATATCATAAAAAGTTGCATCTATTTCATTAGACATTAATGTCAAATAGAGAGAGAATAAAATTTAATATTTTTTTAAAACTTAAAATCTTTCCCAGCAACATACAGAATTCTTTATAGATTAATTTTTTCTTCAGCTTGTAGCGAAACAAAATATATGTATGTTTGATTATATTATTTCGCATTATTCATACGATTTACACCGCCGTGTTTAAATCAACGCTAGATTGTAAATCATTAATGATTGCAAAATGCATGATGATCAAGCAGAAGCTTGATTATTCCAGAATAAACCGTTCAAGAGGCGATGTTGAGGCGAAATGTCGTAATAATTCTGGCGGCGATAATCGTCGTAATTTTTATTAAATAATAATCCGAAATGCACGTATACGCGCGTTAGCTTTTACGATCGCGCCGCGTCGAGGCGAACCACCCTCATTAAACGAACCCCTTCACGCTCGCGCGCCGGATGACGGAAGTTAACACCCCGGCTTTGCGGACCCTCTTTGCGACTATATAGGCACGGCACCTTGTGCACCCATGTCTCTTCCTTCTCCTTGCCGTCTATACGTTATTATGCGTGCTAAAGCGCAGTAGCGTGGGAATAAAGAGTGCACGTGTCCAATCGCGTATAGGATAAAAATCCTTTGACAGGTATGTGCGTTCTTTTCTCTTTTGACAGGCTCGTTGTTACATAGGCGCGTCGTCACTCTCTTCAAACTTATATTGGAATATACATTTCCGCGTGAATTTTTAAAAAAATAAATGCACACGCGTAAACATTGCATCGTATACTTATTGCGTTTATTGAAAGAATATTTCTCATGAAGATTAATTGCTCAAAAATATTTGTTTTCATATTTCTTGCAATGATTTGCGGTGTAATTGTTTCTTTAATTAAAGCGACTGATAAATTGTGACAGTAAAAAAATTATAATATATTTAACTTATTAAAAATAATTAATAGATTATTAAATAAATAAAAGATAACCGCGTATTTCTTTTTAAAATTAAAATTATGAAGATTTAATCTGAATATTGCATTTATAAATTATGCGGTACCGCATTAAATATGATCTTGTAGATTGTACGTAGGTTCTTTAAAAGGTGTATGATAAAGACTCGTGTCTCATCGTGGTAAGGAAAGTGGTAGACTGTGATACACACGGGATTTCCTTGCGGTCTTCGTGTACAGGATGCACTTAATTCTTTCGTTCTAACGTGTCGCTGCGCGCATATCCTTATGTTAATTTATACTCTCTCTGCGATGTAATCATAACCGCAGAGAGAATTCTAAGTTCGCCGATGGGGCCGCCTTTATTGCGACTTTTTTCTTTTTAATGAAATGGACCCGCGCATACGAGCGCGGCAACTATAATAATAGTGAATGCGGATGATAAATTAAAATGCAAGGTGCTAGAGAGAAAGAGAGAGAGATTTAACGTCAGAATTTATCAGCGACATTGTACGCACGAAGCACCGGGTGATACTTTTCTTAATGATTATCGTCCGCTGCCGCGCGTGATGAAAGTCTCGGAAATTAATTCTCGACGTTGATGCACCTTTCTTTTAACCTTCTCTTTGCGCGATGGCAACGACGCCGGCGAGCAGAAACGAATCTTGGCAAATTAAATTGAACATAACAACGTCATTTAGAAAAAAAAAAAACAATTAAAGTATCGTTTGTGACATTTTATAAGAAATATAATTCTTATTAATCTTCTCTGTAAAGATTGTGTTCAATTTTTTTAACGCTGCAGAGTATACATAAATGTGATTTAAAAGCTCGCGATTATGCTCTTTTATAAATAGATTATTAAATAAAAAATATTTACAAATTAAATAATAATTCATAGATGCAATATGCTTTTAGCAAATGTTGATTTTAGCGTGAACACTCACAGATCATTTTAACAATATATGTCATACATGTCAAGAATTATCTGCGGATATTTTTTAACGTTAAAGTAAACATTTATCATCTGATTAAAAATTTGAAAAAATAAAGTTTGTTAATTATATCGTAGAAAAAATCATTTATAGTCGAAACTATCGATACTTTAGTTAATAAAATGTCTTCACATATTATGTTTCCTGCAATTAATTGACGATTTAATATCATTGCAAATTTTGATTTGACTATACTCGTTATAGCTTTCTATAAGTAGTCTTGATCAGAGAATCTTTTATTAAGTGACACATTCAGGACACATACGAGATATTTTACTCGAAAATTTCAAAGCATTGATAAGAGATGTCGTAACATTATCAAAATTACCCTGTAGAAAATAGACGGACGATAAACACTGTTGATTGGAATTATGATTACTTCCTCGAGCGTCTCGCTCCTTTTTCATCGATCTTTCTGATCGTGTAATAAACCGCCTCCTCATAGAGAGAAGGATGTCCTTTCGGATCGATTCACACGTGGGAGAAGCCGCGTGGGTTTCTCAGCCACGAGGCTTGTCACTTAGTATTACTTGAAATGAACGATGAACCAGGACGACGCGGCATTACGAGTATCGAAGTCTGTATCCAATACAGGATGTTTCGAAAGTGCATCTACTTTACTGGTATATTTGAAAATTTAGCTTGATTAAAAGACCAGATACCAAATCGATGCAAATCTAATTTATAATAATTATCAAATTACAAATTGGAGTTGATATTTATGCCGTATAATTAACACTTGTTGTGATTTAATACACACATATAATTAATTATTTTAATTCGATTGTAATTTGATTAATTATATGTATATATGATTTATTATTCATAATAAATGTCTATATGAGAGTTGCACTAGAGTTTGATCTGAATAAACGAATTCTGATATAAAAAAATTACTATAATACTCTATTAAATCCCGAAATGTTATGCGCGAACGTGACATTTTTACATTCAAAATAATTTCCTCCAGAATTCAAGAATATTTGTATTATTCTCTTTATATTGCGACGCGTATACGATACATTTTAATGAGAATATGCAGTGAAGCCGGTATAAAAAGTAAATAACGATCACATCGCGTGATAGTGAAATAAAATTATAATTGAACACTCGTGCGCGTGGGACGTGCGATATAGATATAAATGTATAACAATATTTATACCCAGGACACCAACATATAAATATTGCAACATGCATTCTTTTGCATATAAATATTCAGCTAATTTAATTTCGTAGAGAAAAGAAGTGGATGAGATGGAAATAATCGCGCGAAAGCGCAATCAGTTATAAATATTTGATGATATTTCTAGAAATATAAAAGCTTAATTATATATAAAGATATGGGGGAAAGAAACATTGCGACGTACGTATTTCATACAGAGTTGAAATATTGTTTTATCGATCGATTAGACTGCAAATATAATTGTATTGCAATATAGGAAGATAGACATCTCCCTTGTTTATCTTATGCAATCTTTCTGACGACTAATCACATACACTGAAAAAAAGTTGTTAACTTGACTAAATCATTCAACTTAAATACTATTTTGTTAATTAAATATGTAGAAATATTTCAGTTAAATATATTAAATCTAACAAAATATATATTTGACTTAAATACTAATATATGTTCAACTAACAAAATAGTAATTTAGTTGAATGGTTTAGTTAAGTTAACAATTTTTTCAGTATATGCAATCACAAATTCTGATAGTCATTTTTTCATATTATTTTCGTTTTCTCTTTTTAAAGCAAAATAGCAATGAGAGAGAAAAGAAAGGATAATTTCGAGAACGATGCTGGTTCTCGTATATATGAAACATCTCTTTTAATTTAAAATAAATTTTGTGTATTTGATATCTATATAATATGTATATCAACGTGACACAAAATCTCCGATGCTCTGTTTCATCTCGCTTGCATGCTCCAGATACGTTTATAGCGCCATTTAAATACGAGCACACGATATGACATTTTAACTACTTTCAGCAAAGCTTGTTTGCTTTATGATCTGTCGCAAAGTTTAATTATCAAAGCATAGCGAGAACTGATTTCAAAATTAAATGCAAAAACGCATAAACTTGTTTTTGCTGTTCTGTGCGGTGAATTAATTATTTTTTCGATATGCAAATCGCATTATAACATGCGATCTAATCACTTTACTAATCGATCCGATTAAATCTTACTAATTGTGAGATAATTCTTTCACTGCGTAACGACACTCGTAATCGTTGACGCAAAATAGCGAAATAATTAATTGGATCATAAAACATGTTATTCATTAATATATTTGTCCTCTCGTGACGCACGAAATTGTATACGATAAATTGCATCAAAATTTTCTGAATAAAAGCGTTTCAAGGACCGCTATTCTCCGATAAGATAAGATAACGAACACAAGGAAGACGTATAATCAAAGTATCGAAAACACGGATGACTTTCGCAAGGATTGACTGGCATAAGATCGCGATACATTGCAATTATATCTGAAACGAACGAATGATACCGATAATGAACTGTCATTTAATCGCGACTTCGTAATTTGTTGTGAGACTTTACGCTGTGCTTGACCTATCTAATTTTTCGATGTTTAATGATTTAATAATTATTGTTAGATCTTATTGTTAGATGCTTCTTGACAGTCGTATCATAATTTTAAGCAAATTTTAAGTAAATGATATGAAATGACTTACTTAGTTGAAGTAGATTCTGCTTTCTATATATGAGAATATTGCTGCTTTCCGGAAAAACAAATGCCGAGAACGATCTGCAATAGAAAAATTACGATTGTTAATTGTTAGACGCTTGATTAGTCTCTTATTAGATAATATAAAATATATTACATATATATGTATATTGATATGCTATATTGCGTTCACGTAGATTTAAAGCTATCACTTTGCATACAATAAATTATACAATTTTTCTTATTTGAAATTTCTCAGTTAATATAAAAATTTTTTTGAAAGAAATGATATTTTAATTAAAATTTTGAGTTTAATTTTGCTCGTAAATTCTTTCAAATTCTTGAAACTTTTAAATAATTAAAAAATATTTTGGCAATTTATAACTTTCAATTAAAATGTGATAATGATAAAATTAAAATCCAATATGGGTATAAACGAATGCGAAGATGTTATCTGATTATGTCTCGCAGAAATTCTTTTAATACATGAAAGTTCAGTTTTAATCGCTTTATTCGACGAAAATATTGACAGAGCCTTTTTTTATCTGATTTTTTTCTCATATAACATATCGGAAAAGAGATTGAAGAGTCTGATCAGATGCGCAATTGCACACGTGATTTTTGGGTGAGTCATCGAAACTTCGATATATTGCCAGTTCTTAAAACGGCGCCGACATTTATCACTTATTGATTATCAAGTCTTATTTATCAGCTGCATGCTTCGGATGAAATTCTATTATTACCTAACATTCAATATTATCTGGCGGTGTGGGAGATAACGCGGTAACTTAATCTTCGCTTTGATTGCTTCGATTTCTCGCTATTGCATGTGATGTTTGCGAGACGATGAATCGTTCTATCTTTTATCGTTCAGAATTTCCTAGACTTTACAAACATAAATCCTGTATGGTCACTTATCTTATATTTTCCTAAATGAATTACTAAATGCAAACACACGCGCGCGCGATAAAAACTACATTTCTATATTGTTAACAAATATGGAAATAAAATATTGCTCAGTTTTCGTATAGCGAAGATATGTAAATATTGTACGTGAAATATGTGTAATGTAACATATTTAAATAGTACATATAAAATATTCAAAGATTTGAACAGAATATTTTCATCCATTCCTTTCGTTTTATTTTTGAATATATGTATAGATAAAATGATTAAAAAGAAGAATCAGAAAATTATATAAATAACTTTAATGGCACACATACACATTTAATATAATTTTATCATAATGTCGCCATCTATCGATTTGTTCTGAAATTTCCATCGAACTGGTTAAATACAAATAGCAGAATTCTGTACGACGTCATGATAATTGATTAATTTACACGCTCTTTCAATACTATATATGTATATATATATATATATATATATATATATATATATATATATCTACATACATGACTTTAGAATTTATATTATGCTTTATCACGATTAATCATGCCTCATCAGTATCATCTCGCGAGTTCCTAATTAATGATTAAACGAACGAAAGAGATCAAATCTTTATAAAATCCTTTCTCAGTTTTTCTCGCAAAATTTATTTCGACGTTTGCGATAAAGAAATAGAGAAAGAAAGAAAGAAAGAAAAGGAGAGGAAAATCGAAATCTGCATATAATTGTCTCTTTTCTTAAACAATTGAAACCAGAATTGTACCTGCATGAAACAACAAAGCGTAATTATTACTCATTTTTCTCGAAAAACATCTCACCTTGATGTTTTTTTTTGTTTAGCTTCATCAGGATACACGGACTTTGCTCATCGGACAATGTTCACCTGCCTACCGCGGAGGTTTCCGACAACGGTTTATCCAACCGGTAATTACGCTTTTCCAATGGCGAAATTACTTCCGAGAAGCCGGCCCGGGAGAGAAACGCTCGCACACACGGCGACGAATGTTTGATTTCCGAAGTCACGTCACTTCCTCGAACTACTCTCGTGTGTGTATTACACATTCTGAGAATCCCCGACGATGGATTCCCGTTTCTCGTATATACGCACGTTTTAAACTGACATATGCATATAAAGCGACCGCGATTCGATAAGGGAAATTAACATCGATCAAGCGACACCCCGACAGTAAAGTGACGCAGATAATTTTGGCGCGTAATGAAATGCAGGCTTGTTCCATATTCCGTTCCGTTCCGTTCCGTTTTGTTCCGTTTCGTTTCATTTCGAAAAATTAATTTTTATTGTAATAATATAAAGAATATTATTCGCGAAAATAAATACCATTTTCTATTCCAAAATATCAAAATAATCTAAGAATGATATTTGTTCGCTCTGTAGATTCATCAAGTAAAAAAGTTAAGAAGAAACGGGGTTGACAAACCTGCTTTTATACATAGATTAATTCTTTATTACAATATAATATAAAGAATATCATTCGCGAAAATCAACATCATTTTGTATTCCAAAATATCACACACACACAAAATAATGTAAGAATTATATTTGATTGCTCGGTAGATTCGTCAAGTAAAGGTTAAGAAAAAAACGGGGTTGGCAAATCTTTTTTTATTAGACTCTCTGCTCCGTTTCGAAAGAACATATAGATTAATTCTTTATTATAATAATATAAAGAATATCATTCGCGAAAATAAATACCATTTTCTATTCCAAAATATCAAAATAATCTAATAATTATATATATTTGTTTGCTTTATAGATTCCAAGTAAAGGTTAAGAATAAGAAACGGGGTTGGCACACCTTTTTTCTTAGACTCTCCGTTTTCGCATCGTGACTCGCGAAACCTTTCTTTTTACAGCCCTTCTTTACTAACACTATATCATTTACATTATATTATTTTACTCACCACCTTTTCCGATACGCGGCCTGTTTTTGTGTCGACGAACGGAGGTCCGGCACGTGGTCTCTGAAAGCCGCGCGCAAAGTGCTCGCGATATATCGCATGTCGAGAGTGGGAGGGCTGCGGTTACCGGCTATCCCGATTTTACTGCATATTGAAGCTATAACCCGGGCGTTACGAAGCCTTTTAGCGGAAGTTCAGGGCGAGAAAGTGGAGCGTGGAACGGAGATGTATATTTGAACGCGAGCGAGCGAGAGAACTCGCTCGTATTCTCGCAGTTTCCGCAATTTTCTCGTTCCCTTTATATCCCTTTCTCTCTCTCTCTCCGGCGCGGACTGCAGTTCGTTTAATTATCGCGATAATGCCCGGCGGTGTCAAAGTTTATACTACTTGCCTGGTATACTGGAGCAGCCGCGCTCGCTTCTCTCCGGCTTCTCGTTGTCTCGCGGTATGCGAAGTGAATATAGTAACGAAAGATACCATATACTATATAGTATATAGTCTATTCGTTTCACTTTTTATCATTTATTTCAAGGAAAAGACTATTTCACAATCAGGGATTTTTTTATTTTGTGCCAGAGATACTTGATGATTTTTAATAATTTTTTATTATATTTATTATAGTTATTATTATATATATTTATTATATATTATTTAATTATATTTAATTATACAATTTGATTTATTTTTAAGAGAATTTATATAGAAAATGAAAAGAGAAGTTTCATTTAAATATTATATATAATAAATATAAATATTATAAACAAATAATTGGAAAAGAATGGAAAATTTAAAAATAATAATGAGTCGGTAATATAGAAAATTTATCGATCTTACGAGGATTTATTTTACCGTCAATCGGTAACAAATTTTTTTAATGTAGTTTGTCCGAGAAGAGGATTCTACAGATGTCGCTTATTTCTCATCTCGAGATTTCGTTGCCGCCTGCGTCTTCTCGTTCGTGAACAACGAACGTTCATGGCTGCGTGACTCGACGAGGGATCGATAGAAGTGTTAAAAATCGGGGAAGACGATCGCGTTTGAGAACAATTGATTCATTTAGAGTTGCGCCGAGTTATTTTTCGTCGAGATGACGGCGATTCCCGGAACGGTAGCGTTCGACGAATTCGGCCGGCCCTTCATCATCTTGCGGAACCAAGAGAAGCAGCAACGGCTCACCGGTCACGATGCGATTAAGGTAAAAATATTTAACACGAAAAGGATTCGTGTCGCATCTCGAGTACTTCTCATTTCGAGAAATTTGTCTCGTGGCGACGAAATATACAGGACCCATCGTCGCGAAGTATTCTCGATGATGTTGCATCTTCTCAAGATCAGCCACGTGAGAGGATTTAATGGCGGCGTTTTAGAGCTTGGTGACGAACAAAAGAGGAATTTCCATTAAGTTCCACGTCGAAAATTTATGTCTACTTTTCTCGAATTTTGTCTTTTTTATTTATTTACATTTATAGATGGAGAAAGGATGAATGAATTCTATGAATATCCCTGAAGAATTTGTAACTTGCTTTATGACCTTATAAGGCAATCTCTGTGGTTTTATCGAAATTACAGAAGAAACAGAATTATATTTGGATTTTGAGATATATGTATATATCTTTTCACATTTTTATCGTGATTAATATTTAAATTTTGCGAGATAATAATTTTCTTTTTTAATTTGTAAACTTAATTTATTAAATATAAAAAATATTTTTTTGCAGTCGCATATCTTGGCAGCACGCAATGTGGCCAGTATTCTTCGAACATCCTTGGGACCCAAGGGACTGGATAAGATGATGGTGAGTTCTGATGGAGATGTCACCGTTACCAATGATGGTGCTACAATCCTGAAGAACATGGATGTGGATCACGAAATTGCCAAGCTTATGGTTCAGCTGTCAAAGTCTCAGGATGATGAAATTGGGGATGGCACTACCGGAGTAGTTGTCTTAGCTGGTGCACTTCTGGAACAAGCCGAGCAATTATTAGACAAGGGAATTCATCCGATTAGAATAGCTGATGGTTTCGAGTTGGCAGCAAGATGTGCTACTGAACATCTCAAGACAATAACGGACGATTTTAAAGGAACCCCAGAAAATTTAGAACCCTACATCGACATTGCTATGACTTCACTTGGTTCAAAGATGTAATAGAATAGTTTTTATTGTTTTGTTATTTTCAAACACATTGTTTATAATCTGTTTACTTATATATTTTTTATTTATGCAGCATTAACAAGCATCATAGGCAGATGGCAGAAATTGCTGTACAAGCTGTATTGGCAGTTATGGATCCTGTTACTCGTGATGTCAATTTCGAACTAATCAAGATAGAAGGAAAGGTCGGTGGTAGATTAGAAGATACTGTCTTAGTACGTGGTGTTGTTGTCGACAAGGATTTCAGTCATCCGCAAATGCCGAAGGTTCGCAAAATATCAGATTTTTATTATAAAATGAAAAAAATTTTTAATATATTAATATTTGACTATAATATATATTATATAGAGATTAGAAGATGTCAAACTGGCCATTTTAACATGTCCCTTTGAGCCACCGAAGCCCAAAACAAAGCATAAGTTGGACGTCACGTCGGTCGACGATTACAGAGCGTTGCGCGATTACGAGCGCGAAAAATTCACAGAAATGGTGAAGCAGGTCAAAAACGCCGGCACGACATTGGCTATTTGTCAATGGGGTTTTGATGATGAAGCCAATCATCTTCTATTACAAAACGATTTGCCTGCAATCAGATGGGTCGGCGGTCCAGAAATCGAAGTGAGCGTCAATTTCGTAATCTTATATTAATTCGATTTTTAATCAATTTTGTTGTCATGATTTTGCAATTATCTTTTTCTAATGATGAAAAAAGAGCACTAGAGGAGATGTGAGAGTTCTGGGAACCGGTTCATCTTGGTTTTGGTAATATTAATATTTTCGCAAGTTAATGTTACATTGACTTGCGAAAATAATGTAAATACTTTCAAAATCAGGTAACTAGTTGTCTAGTCTTCTTGCGGTGGCTCCAATGATTCAAAGATTATGAGATCTGAAGTAATCGCGATATTTTCTTCTTGTATTATGTTTTTATATAAAGATACACAAAGGAATTAAATTACTTTTTCAGCTTATTGCCATTGCAACTGGTGGACGCATTGTACCTCGCTTTGAGGAACTGACACCGGAGAAACTTGGTCATGCCGGTGTCGTCAGGGAATTAACGTTCGGAACTACAAAGGATCGAATGCTGGTCATCGAGGAATGCAAGAATTCTCGCGCCGTGACAATCTTTATTCGTGGCGGCAACAAAATGGTACGCGATCACATTGATATAGAAATAATTTCTATGCAAGGAGAATTTCAGTATGATACTTTTCAATGCGCATACTGATCAGACACCTTGCGATAGCAATGCATTGCAACTTATAAAAATTGTTCGCAATTTCTTGTGTTGAGTTCAATTTTTTGCGATGCAACATTTATTTTCGGTTCAAATAATTCTAAGAGCTCGTCTTAATTATATAATTAAATATATTTATTGTACTTTTATGCTTTTATAGATTATTGAAGAAGCAAAGCGGTCTATACACGATGCACTGTGTACCGTACGCAATGTAGTCAAGGACAACAAGATTTTGTACGGCGGAGGCGCAGCGGAAATATCTTGCGCGCTGGCATGCGCGGCTCAGGCTGACAAAATCAGTACTCTGGAACAATATGCCTTCCGTGCCTTCGCTGAGGCTTTAGAGAGTGTTCCTATGGCCCTAGCAGAAAATGCTGGTCTTTCTCCAGTGGATACTATAGCGGAGATTAAAGCGCGTCAATTGGCCGACAGAAATCCTGCTCTTGGTATCGATTGCTTAAATCGAGGCACTGCAAGTACGTACACAATTTTATACTTATATATACCTAGGGTGTCTTATCAATCATTCCCAACTTTTTTTTTATTGTACAACAAAATGTTTCAAACAAAAGTTATTTAATTTTAAAGGGGACAGAAAATGGTACTACAGATTTTTTTAAAGAACTTTTTGAGGTCATTCGAAGATTTTTTTTTATAGAACCACTATATTTTTTTATATACATTTCTTCGCAATTTTCAACATAAAAAATTATAAGAGTACAATAGCCAAAAAATGAATAGTTTATTATACAAAATATACTTAAATTTGACATAATTTTACTTATAAAATATCGTAAAATATTTATTTTTTTGATAATTTTACCTGAATACTTTTATACATAAAATAATGACAGGAATTAGTTGGTATATAAAAAAAGTTTTTTGTAAAAAAAATGTAGCTGCTAGTTACAATTTACATACTTTTTGTTAAATAATTGTATTTTCTTTATACCAATAGATTCTTCTCATTATTTTATGCATGAAAATAGGTATTGAGGTAAGATCGTGGAAAAATTAATGTTTTAGAGATATTTCATAGTTTTTTTGTAAAATAATATCAAACTTGAGTACAAAATATCTCATAAACTATTTATTTTTTGGCTATTTTACCCTTGTAATTTTTTATACTGAATATATTGCGAGGAATTGATTTATATAAAAAAATATAGTAGTCATATTTTTAAAAATTGATCTTCAAATGGCTTCGAAGTCCTTTAAAAAGTTAGTAGTATCATCTTCTGTCTCCTTTAAATTAAATAACTTTGTTTAATTTAAAGGGAAATTGTACAATCAAAAATAAAAAAAATTTTTGGGAGTGATTGATTAAAACAGGATACCCTGTATACTATCTTTTATACATTGATATTAAAATTATCACTAATTGCGTTGCAGATATGAAGAAACAGAACGTCATCGAAACTTTAACGAGCAAGACGCAACAGATTTTGTTGGCTACACAGTTAGTTAAGATGATCCTGAAAATCGATGATATAAGGTCGCCTAGTGATTTTGGCGACGCACCTTAAAAAGTTAAATTTAATATAATAAATCATCATATAATTAATCAAAATATAACAAGTTTCATTTTTATTATGTACGTTTCATTATACTAGATTCCTTATTTTTTACTCTTTACATTGCTTCTACATACTGCACTCGCATTTGTAATAAATAACATTATATGATAATAACTTATATATATATATATAACAATTATAATATTATAATTTTATATTATAATATGTATAATTAAATATATATAATATATACAATTTTAGTTAATTGTATTAAATACTATTTTTCATAAATTTGCTATAACATTTGCTATTTGTCATAATTTATACAATCACATCAATGCTTCTACGTATTGCATTTGCATTTATAACATCAGGAATTTTATTTGCTTAAATCAAATACTGTTACTTCTCAACTTGCTAAAACATCGTAATTTATATAATAAAAGATCATGATATTATCTCTGATTTTTGTACGAGTGTAATATTAATATCTGAGAGCATCTAATTTATAGATACTGTTATCTCTTATTTCCTGTATCTATCCTGTCCAAAAAAAAACTAAAACATTTTTTACATTGGTATATAATGCAAATTTTTGCTAATTTTAATATATAATACAAATTAATATAAAATCTTCATTTTAAAATAAAATATTTCTATCGTAAGAAGTATGAAAAATGGAGTAAGAACTGTCATCAACGGCTTTATTTTCACTTTAGCAACACATAAATGTCACATCGAGTCAAGGTGTGCAATTGTGTAGTATTCTGTTTATAACATCTCTCGAGAAAAGGTATATCCTTTTTCTTTCTTTTTCTTTTCGGACACTATTCTGTGGAATATGTAATGAACAAAATCAATGACAGACTGGACGAAATAACAAATATTGTTATGATCTATTCATAAAATGGCACAAAATACAATCGCATGTACATATATTTATAAATTAAAAATATAATAACAATATATATTCTGCCTATTTCTTTCGGTCGCCTTCATATTTCTTTGTTTTTCTCATTCTTATGTCGTTTTGACATCAGACTCTATTTTTTGTAACAATTCTTTCTCTTTCTTTCGTATCAAAATATACAATCTATTCCAACACGTAACATTTTATATCTTTTCTTGCTCTTTCTATCTCTCGCGAGATATTTCCATTTTATACATTAATTACATCTTCAACAAGTTTTCAACTTTATATGTACAAAATTCTTACAAGGATTCGCGATATGAAGCAATAAAGTTTCAATATGTATAAATTGATAGTTTTATATTATTATCGTTTTCATGTATTTGTTTACATTACTTTCTTAGGAGCACGAAAATTGTTTCGTATCGCGATTTGACTTATATTTTTGAAAACTTAACAATTTTATATTTTGTTAAGAAAAAATAAATAGATTTTTTTGCGTGTCGCAAAGAATAGTGGATTCAAAGTAAAATCCTTGTAAGAATATTATACTTCATACCTCTCTTTTACACTTCGATGTATAACGCTGTACATCAACAATAACGAAAAATATCGATCTTTTTCACCCAGACCCGATCACACTTTTATCTATATAACAGAATTGACTTTAATGCGAGCGTGATTTGGAACAATGACATATCGTAAAATCTACAAATTACCCGAGTAAAAAAGAAACACATATAAAACATGATATATGTATATCGTTTTCGATGCGTCTATGTCTAATTTAGTCGGATTTTATCGGTATTTAACTCTTGTACGAACAGGGATTGGGACTAAGCAAGTTTCGGTTATCCGCGAGAATGACAATTTCAACTAAAAAATGGTATAGCACGAAGAAATCTTGACCATGATTATGCTTGTCTTCTGGCATTACACCTTTTTGAGCATGGGCAAATGAAGCACCTCGGGTACTTCGATGTCTTCTAACCGAATGTCCGATGGATTGAACGGAAATCTCACAGGATAGGAATATTTTAGATCCATTAATAGCTGAAAATGAAAAATACAATTAAAATGTATTATATGTTGCAAACATTTTTTGTCATTTTGAGCTTGTATTAATTTAATACATATATGATTTTAGGGTATTTTTTAGATGTTTGTCTAAGAAAGCTTACTTGTTCGTTGTTCTCGCCGCGTTCCTTCAGTTTATCTTGTACTTTCTTAATGAACGAGACAGGAACTCGACTCTCGTAATCGTCGGCTGGTGTGTACAGGTTCAGGATTTTTACTATTTGATTAGCCGACAGCTTGTTGCACATCTCGCAGACGGAATTAACATCTTCGTCCGTCTTACGTGCCTGCAGAAGCTGCGATGCCTGAATGATGGGTTGCAACGCTTCGGACGCGGTCTCTAGTTGTCGATCTCTACCCCATTGTTCTAAATGGCTCATATTATACCTTTATTAAGAAACACAGAACACATTATTGAGGAAATATATATATATTCAATATTCTAGTATGCAAATAATAAATTTCCCATCAATTTTTTTAAAATCATGTAGTTTTGCAAATCAATTATAGTCCATATGATTTTTATTTCAGCAAATAAAAGCAAGATTGAGCACTTTTTCCTTACCGTATTTGCATACCCTTCGTCCACCGGCAGAGTTCGTTCCTCAGCAGCAAATTGTTCAGAGCACTGGCGCACATAAAGTAAAACAGTTGCTTGAACAATTGTACCACAACCTCGGGATCGACGCCGTGATACTGCAAAGTCTTGTGCACCGACGTCAGCTCGCCGAGAAGTTTATCCAGCTTCTGCTGCGTGGAGTCTGGCTCGCCGCCCATTGACGACGACCTGGGCCGACCGCTTTTGTCGGTCGGCACAGATATGGCTTCGTGCTCCAGCAAAGCCGGCACCGTGAGCGCTTGGATTCTCTCCTTGAGATTCGTGACGAGATTGTTGAAGATCCAGAGCGCCACGTTACTCAGCACGACGCGATACTCGCTCAGATCAAAGTTCCTTAGGCACTGCTCGTTCTGCCTAGGTGTATTCTCGATTTGGAACGGCTTGTCGCCGGAATATTGTTTCATGTTGTGCAACAACCGCAGGGTGTTGCTCAGCCAGAGCACTCTGGAGTCGAAGTCGTCGCGCTTCTTCAACACGCGTTTAACAGCGTTCAAATATTCAGTCAACAGTGATCGTACTTTGTCGTCGTCGTTGATGCAATCGGTGTGCCTGATGCACATGAAGAGAATATAGGCCGGTAAACCCGGTAACAATGTCACTGCTATACGGGGTTTCAGTTCTATACAAAATAATATAAAACGTTCAGTATAAATTTTCAAAGATATAGTAATACTACTATTTCAAATACCGAAGTAGTAAAGTGACATCACTTGACATCAAAATCACATCACTTTGACGTTTAATAATGTCATTAGACGTCCAAATGACGTACACTTTGCTACCTGAGATAATTATATATTGACAGATAGACTTATTAAAAGATGATGTAGATTTACCAATGACTAGATGACGTATAACCACGTTGATCTCTTCTTTCCTGAATTCAAACATTCCTTCGTAATCTCTTTCTTTCTTGCGAATGGCAGGCATGTTACTTCCATCTCCATAAGTATTGGAATTCGCGGAGCCGTTTACATATTCTACCGCATTAGGCACTAAAAAAATTGAAATTTTTGTATTCCTTGCGATTTACAGACTTCTCAAAATATTCTTAAACTATACTAAATTATGTCGCGTGCTGGATACAACATATGCAAGCGATGGTGAGTTATGGTCTATGATGTATTATTGAACTATCCGAAAAGTCTACACTGATACGTTCTAATTTCTATTTGTTGAATTAATATTTACGAAATTACTTAATTTTAGTATAACTAATTTTTCTTCTATCCAATAAAATGCTTGTGCTTCTTCACTCAAATCACAAATTACCGAATAGTTCAATAAGATGATGATTCATGATATCTGTCAAGACCACGCACTCACTCACCGGCGCCTCTTAGCACATAAGGGCGATCCTCTCCTTCAACTTTGGAAGCATTAAGATAAAATAATTTAAAATATGTGTATATATATTTGATGTTCTTCAAAAATTTTCTAACAACTCTCCACAGAGTAATATTTTTTTATTTTAAATAGACATAATTATGATACTTACAGCCAGCATCTTTCAGCCGTTTTGCCAGGATTCTACATTGTTTCTTATAGCGTCTGCATTCCTCTGCTATTTTATCATATCTTTCTTGAAGATCCTTTAACACAAATATAATGTCAAAATATATATGTGTGTGTAATTAAAATTATGATTAAAAATAAAAACAATGCAACAAAATAAGTTGAAAATAATACAATCAATTGTATCTTATAGATATACAAAAATTCGCTTTACTTACTAGATTTTCAGACGTTAATCTGGTAACCTCGTGTTGCATGTAAAGTTCCGCTTGGGTTTGTGGCGATTTGCTCAAATTAATGGAAAGTAGTTTCTGCTGTTTCTCTATTTCTTCTTGCAACCTGTCTATTTCGTTTCGCCATTCGTCTCTTTGCGCTCTCCAATTCCTTTCTTTTCCTTGCAGCTCATCCTCCAGTTGCCTTCAAAACAAAACATAAATTTTTCTTTTTTTTTTAGAATTACCGTGATTACAAATTTCTTGAATTGTTCAATCACAAATAAACTGAATTATATGTTAAGCATGAAATCGTGCCTGTTATTAGTGCCAGTATGAAATGAAAATGTTGGAGAGACAATAATGATTGGAAATAATAAATCGTTAGAAGATTTAGCATGATTCATACAACACTGATATATACTTGCTAATATTTTACAAAAATTAATGACTTGGCTTAAGATGTTTCAAGACATTCATGATATCGTGAAATTATGAAGTAATCTTTTTTTCTTTTTGATTGAACAGTTCAAAACAAAATGCTTAAACGGGTCGCAACGTGAGAATCTGCTCAACTCACTCTCCTCCCGGTGCCTTTGTCTTAAGTTTACTGAAAATTGAAGTGCATGCACAAAAAGACTGTTGTTAGACACGGCACTATTTTATTATATAATTAACTCGTCTCGTTAAGCGCGTGTCTCATTTCTTATTACCTGTTAATTTTTTTCTGCGCCTCGAATGCAAGTACCAGCTCGCCGTCTTCGTTTATTATGTCTACGTCGCGACCGTAATTGGCACCTAAGTTCTTCATTCTGCGTGTGTTATCAGCCAATACACTATGTAGCTGGATACACTCTTCTCTTCTTCTTTCTAGTTCTTCCTGCAGCGCCTCGAATTGTACTGTAATGTAATTATGTCAATATTATTCTGTGCTCCTTAGTCGTATTATGTTACATATTATTTATATCATTGGCGACCTTGACAATTTAAGCAGGAGAGCATTCAATCACACACAAAGCAAATATCTAAAATGTATAATAAATGTGTATCGAAAGAATTTTGAATAACTTTCCAAACATATAATTTTCACAGCGTTTATAAATCATTATATGGTCATATTTTAGTATAACTTGTTGGTTCTATATATATGCTTGGAGTATTTTTAATGTTCAAAGATAGCAGGAATTGAAATTATCGATAATATACTGATATATAATAATCGATAATTTTATACCAACAAGGTGAGATGTATGACGTATATATAATGAAAAAATATCAGTTATAATTATTCTGTTAAGATAATTAGTGCAAAAAACAATGAACACGAAGACAGTATTCAAAGGATAAAAAGGATAGAAAACAGAAATCCAGCACAGGATAGAAAATAGAAATTATAGAAGATATACAATGTGTTTATCTATGTCTCTTGTGTGCTTGAATTCTTAGCTATTGAAAGATACAAAGTTGCATGGTTAACTCATATGTTAAAAGCTAATTTGTATGTCTACAATGCTTATTAACAAATGGAATGCAGGAGATAATTAATGAGTTGTAATAATAAATTACTCATGAGATTTTGTTGCGCGGATGATGGGCTGCCCAATGACACCGTCTTCCTCAACGAGTTCAAGTCTTTTTTAAGTTGCGAATTTTCCATTTCCAGTTCTTGGAGCTGTAAACAAACCATATTGTCTCAGTTCATCGTTAATCCGATAACTGATAATAGCGATAAGACAACAAAGCACACAGTGAAGTAGGTTTATATATCGATACCACCTTAATAATGTTTAAATTATGTCTTAACAATATAATATTGTAAACTTGTGTGTCAGGAACAAAAAATTGACAAGTGCTAAAATATTTTTAATATTTTTCAGAAAAATTTGGATTGTCAGAAAAATAAAAATTTGACAGAGCTATTTTTCTGAATAACATTTTCTTTACTTACTCTGAACGAATCCTGTGTTCTGGTGGACTCCTCGTTACTATCGCGTTCCAGATCCTCGACCATTCTGATCAATCTGCCCTTCTCTTTCTCGACATCCTTCAGTTTCTGCTGTAGTTTCAGAACTAGACCGATGTCCACGGGTGCGTGTGCAGATGTTTCCGGAGGCGATTTACTTGATTGAACTTCTCCGTCCGGTGGACTGTCTGATCGTTGTTGATTCCAGTCAATCGTTTCAACTCGCGAATAAGGCGTCGACGACGAAGCTGTGGACCTCACGGAGCCGTAGCCAAAATCCTGCGGCAAAATCGAAAAATAACTTTAATCGGTATAACCAGTTGATATAATGAATTATATTAATATTTTTTATGTTAATATTTTTCATCGCATTAAAATTCAAATTTCTTTTACATAAATTATTCTTGGGTTCATTTAATAGTATCCCAAGTAGCAAACTGACGTCGTTAAATGTCAAAATAACGTATGCTATCTGGAATTTTATATCGACTTACGATGTTTTGATCGTCTTGTGCAATCTCCGTGGACGCTTGTTGACCACTGCCACTGGAAGCGTTGCTCAAGGAACGCGAGTGTCCAGGTAACGCGCCCAGCTTTTGTTCCAACGTTTCTGCATGCTGTTCCAGCTCATGGTAGTCCTTGAGCAGTCTCTGATAGGCTCCACGATCCTGATCCTGTTCCAGCCGAAGCAGATCTTTCTCTTGCTCGAGACGGTATTTTAGATTCTCCTCAGCACCGCGTTGGTTGCTCTTCAACTTCTCACTCGCTATTGAAAGGTCCTTTCGTAATCTCTCGTTCTCCTGCTGTAACTTTTTATTATCCTCGTTCTTTTGTAGAGAAATCCTTTCTTTATCGTGCAATATATCCATCTTTTCGTCTCTCTCCTGTTTCAGAATTTCTTGTATATTTTTCAATTCCTTCTCTTTTTCCCGAATCACCCCTTTCAACTTTTTATTCTCAGTGTCGACGGATTTCAAACCGTCCAGTTTGAGCTTCAAATCCATCATTTCATTTTGCATATTCTTCAAGAATTGATTTTCCTTTGCCTGAAATAATAAGTTCATTTATAAGTTTCATTTCTGAAGTGCAATCTTTTTTTATATATATTTGTATTATTCAATTCATATATAAATAATGTTAAAATAATAAGTAATTTATAAAGCTTATACACTACAAGATAGATAATACGCCACTTACAAATTCGTCTATCTTTTGTTGCAACGTAATGATCTTCATTTCCAGTCCTTTGTTGAGTGACTTGACATGCTCTACGCTTCTTGCTTCGGCTTTCAATTGCCTGAAGATCTTCCTCGCCTGACGCTTTCTGAAGCACGACTGCACGATAATGATGTCCCTAAGTTTCTTCTTACACGCCATTCTTACGAGGTATCCCCGGGCGAATCTTTGAATCACCGTTGCAGCGGCATTGTCCTTCATTATCCTGTATTTGACGCGAGCCATGTATCCTCTGCCATACGTCTGCAGGGCAAGGATTGTGCGTTTCACTTCCAAATACCATCGTCTCTGCAGCCAACCCTTCAAGTGCGCCTGTAGCTTTATCACGGCTCTTTCCCTCCTTATGGCCTCCGCCTTTCTTCGCGCAATATAACCCCTACCGTATCTCTGAAGACCGAGGATTGCTCGACGGATCTTCAAATACCTGTTACGATAAATCAGACCGCGCACGGTTTTCTGAATCATCACGCAGGCGTCCCGCTGTTTGTCCGCACGCAGTTTCTCCAAATAAGCTACTTGACCGGCCCTGAAGAGCACCTTGGTCTTGCCAAATTTGAACTTGTCTTCGTCATTGATATACCTAGCCAGTATACGTCGACAAGTCTCCTTCAAATCGTCCCGCCGTATCTCCTTGAATCTACAGAGACAGCGATACCTTTGGAAGAAGTCACTATATGTTCGCTGGCTTGGAAAACCTGCAGCCGAGATTCTGATGGTCTCCAGAACACCGCAAGCGCGCAATTGCTGTACCGCTCGCACCGGACTGTATTCGAAGGCCTCTTTCGCGTCATTAGGTTTGATGCAGCGAATATAATGCGGCGTCGTGGCGTTCAACGTGGCCATCAACATGTTAAGCGAATCGCGAAATTGCGAGCCGACAGTCTTCTTGTTTTGCTTGTTGGAGTTCGGCTGTGTATTCTTCTGCGTGAACACCTTCACCCTGGTATGCGGTACCGCCAATTTTGGATCCTCATCGCTGAATAGTTTCTTCAGTAGCTTGTTCTCGCTGCCTCTTAGCACGTCCATCTGTTCCTCAATCACGGTATCACGGTTTTTCTCCAGGAAGCCCACTGTTTCATACTGTACAAGGTCGGCGAAGTGGTGAATGAGAAAAGCTGAAGTACCAAACCTTGGTTTCTCGAAATGCTTTGATTTAATACATTTCGTGTACAGTTTCTCCGCCCAGGAGGCATCCGAACCCTTTGGCATGCGACACTCTTCGTCCAACAGATCCAGGATCCCGAGTTTAGTCTCGATCAGATCAATGCACGGCTGATTGTCATAGAAATCGATGAAAGTCCACTCAATGTCCTCCTTCAAATACTCCTCCTGCTCCAGCTTGAAGACGTGCTGATTAAATTGCTGCTGAAGCTTTTCGTTTGCATAATTAATGCAGAACTGTTCGAACGAATTCACCTCAAATGTCTCGAAACCATAGATGTCCAGCACACCGATGAAATACTGTGCTTTGGTGAGAGACTGTAAGGAACTGTTGATGCCGATCACAATCCAGTTAAAGAGCTCGGCGTAGATATGCTTGGCCAGAGCGTCCCGCGCGAAAATCGCTTGTTCCACGTTCATCGGCTTCAGGAAGACTTCTCGCATCGATACGATCTTCCGATGACACAGCCACTTGCGCATCGCCTTCACGTCGATACCGAGCAATTCGGCGATAATCAGCAGATGTCGATTTGATGGAGAGATGTAACTGGATTCGGTGTCCACCTCATCATTCGCGTCCTTGACCTTGCAATTACTTATTTCTACGTTACCTAAGTGCAATATGGCGGCTAGAATGCGCAGCATGTCATCCTGCTGCTTGGACGTGAAGCCCAGCATCGTTAGCGCACTGATCGTGTCGTCGAAGCCCTCGAGATCGTCCACGCCGTCGATCGTGGGATTGTCGCCCTGATTGAGATAATGGAACTGATTCTGATCGGATAAATACAACTGGGGAAGACGTTTCGCTGCCGAGCACATCTGATAGAATATGTGATAATTTCGTTCTTCGTTCGCCTGGAACACGACCCGCGATTTCTCCAACAAGTAGGTCCTCATGCTAGCGCCGGTGATATGGTAGTTCTTATTAAAGTGGATCTCGATAAATTTGCCGAATCTTGAGGAATTGTCGTTCCTGGTGGTTTTCGCATTACCTATCGCCTCCATGATGGGAGAAGAGGCAAGAACCTTTTTCTCGACCTGTGTCTCTGTTGCTGATCCACCAACGGTCGCAAAGTATCGCATAGTATACTTTGCGGAGACCGTTTTGCCGGCACCCGACTCGCCAGAGACGATAATCGACTGGTCATGGTTCTCCCTAAATAAAATTGAATAAAATTAATATTATATTTTCTTCGGTTAAATAAAATTCGATTTAATTTAATTACATCTATTTTTTATTGAAGTATATTTATAAAAAATAATTTATATAAAATAATGACATGTTTTAAATAATATCTTGGAATACTTTACACTCGATTAATATTTTTGACAGTTATCAGCTGATTTCTGTCAAAAAATATTTTTCACAGAAAAAGGTATTAGCAAGTTAACGCTATATTCATATTTTTTGACAGAAATCAGGTGATTAAAAGCGTTAAATTAAATTTTAAAATTATGATATATTAAAAATATTAAAATATAGTATAATATGTAAATAATATGTATATTGTAATACCTTATCCGTGAATAATATTTTTTGACAGAAATCAGCTGATAGCTGTCAAAAAATATATTAATCGAGTTTAAAGAGAAAGAGGAAAAGAGGCAAAAATACTTGTGAAAATCGATTTAATGTGCTTTTTTTAAAAGGTTAAATAAGTAATTTAATATTCTTTAATATTTTCTATAATTTGACAAAAAAATTTAATATTTTATAGAATGCTAATTTATTATTTAGTAGAATTATCGATATCTTCAGCTTTCTATCTATTCGTCATTTAATCCAACAAAAAAATCTCTGACCTGCTTTTTTAATTAACATCAATATATCTAGACATGTGTATCAGTGATCTAATCAATAGATAAATGGAAGGATTAGTCACCTTTCCAATTTCGTGTAGGCTTCCTCGGCGACGGCGAATATATGAGGTTCCAGGTCGCCCATCGCCTGGCCCCTGTAGGCCCATATCGTGTCATTCCCGTAGATGGGTAATTCGTTGTACGGATTGAAGGCTACCAGGACGATGCCGCAGTAAGTATAGATGGAATGTCGTTGAAAGCGGATCTGAAGATTGTAGAGGACAGCGGGCTCGTGAAGAAAGGATAAAGATGTGAGATTGTTCTCTCCTATAAGAATGTCGGGATTTCGGAGCGGTGGAAGATCCACATCTGATTTGATTTCCAATTTCTTCGTCTGATTAGACTCTTCTGTATGTATTTTCAGCGTCGACTGATTCTGCTTGTAGTTCTCCAAGAGGACGGCACCCTCCCACACTTTCTCCGGATGCGGCACCCATACTCGGCCACCCTACGATCGATTATTATTATTTTTTTTTTTTTTGCGTCAACAAAGTTTTGCTAAGTTTATTATAGTTTAATATAAACAGTGCGCCGCATCCTCGTTTATTAACGCGACAAAAGTTTATAGAATTATTAAAATATCGAAATACGCAGATATCGAAGTTGTAAATACATTTTTTTATAAAAAAACACATTAGTTTTAAATTCAATATTATCGGATTTGTATTACTCATATCTTTATTTCAGACAAGATCAGCATTCATTTTATCTATATCTATTGCGTTTATATTTATATCGTGCTGTGTAATCGTTCCTTAATTGGTCATCGAGTGACTTTTCAAGCATTGCAAAGACGACCTGCTTTTTTCTTTTAGAGTTTTGCATAAACAATGCGAGGTCACCAATAAAAATATATCGATTCGATTGACGAATGCTCCAATTTGTCGTCATTTCATGCATTCAATGTTATGATATACCATTTACATATATGACAGAAGATTTACCGTTTGACCATAGAAATCACCGTTCTATTCAACAATACTGTTTAGTATAATTTCCATTAATCAAGCATATGACTAACAAGTTAACGGCAACACAATGCCCTTTCGTCTTTCGCGAATATAAAACTGATCTAATAAATTGTGAAAAGAAATTTTATTTGTTATAAAAAACATTCTACTGTAAAATTCACATTTCTCGTTATCTACCAAATAAAATGTAATATGTAAAAAAATCGCATTTTAGTTAGATAACAATTAAAACTACAGATACAAATTTTGTGATAGAACATTTTATAATAGAAATAAAATTTTCTTTTGCAATTTATTATGTGGATTACTTTGATATTTGCAAAAGACAAAAGAATATTGTCTTGCTCTTATCTTGTTAACGAATATTCTTGATTTATATATAATATATATAATTTTAAAATTATAAATATATATACAATATATATAACAAAAATTTAAATATTTTTTCGAGTTTAAAAAGGTATAGCCATGTCCAAAAATTAGACTATCATGCAGATCTTGTAATGTCATGTTGACTTATAATTGAATAACTGATCCGAGTTAATTTTATACACACACTTGAGATTTTTTATAAACGTGTGCGAGTACTTTTCATAAGTGAACATAACGGTGTATCTTTGTCAAACCTAATAGACTTTCACAATCTTTAAGCGAGGATCCTTAGCTAAGACCACGTATATATACGACGAAGCGAACGTATTACCGTCTTTCTACCGAGACCACCCAATTGTATTACAAATGTACTAACTTGAAGAATGTCAAGCAACGGTAAAATGATTTTACCTCTGAGGTCGCGACTTCGCCTTTGCCGCCCTACATTTCGGATCATCCCACAAGTAACGTTCGCGATCCATAACAGTAATCGGTACACTTTGTGGTCGAAATAATTCGGGTACACCGACTGCGTCCTCCTTTACGCATGACCGAGATAAAATCATCTCTCTTAAAATATTGCTATATTTCAAAAGAGAAATTACTGTCTACCTAATATAATTCATTTTCTACATAATATAATTAAGTTTCCATAAATATATTTAGTATTTTATATACCTGAACAAAATATATTAATAAAACTATAATATTTAAATAACTGAAACTCCGTTGATATAATTTTTTATTGTAAGAAACACTGTAAAAATCGCGCAATCTGCAAATTAAATTTTACAGTCTAACACTTAATAAATGAGCGCAAGACAAGTTAATGACAGACAAGTAATACACGTATAATTCACAATGAAATAGTAATTATAAAGTAAAGAACAAAGTGTTAGATGGGATTCGTAAACTTGCAATACTTTGCATTAACGATAATGGACTTTCTTATTAATTACTACAGCGATAATCGCTTGTAATAATTAATCGCTCCTATCTTTGCCGTGCGAAAATCATTCAGAAATGGTAAAAAACTGTCAGTTTTTTCCGCTGTCATTTTAAAATATAACTCATATATAATTAACAATTTTTACATGATTATGCGAGCCAATTAACTGCATTTAAAAAGGCGGCGAAATGCGTGACCCTGAGCTTCGTTCCCACAGTGCACGTGTGTCATTAATTACGCAAGATACCGTTGTATCGGATGGAGAAGAGGAGTAAAAAATGCAAGACACAAGTAAAACGTAAATGTCATCGGTAAAGTCACCGGCGCGGTATAATAATTATACCTCTTATCTCTTCGTTCGTCTTTATCGATACATGTTTCTTTGTGAGTCGCAAAAAAAGAACGCACAGTATTCATATTTTGCATATATATGCATTTATGCGAATTATCCTTGCGAAATGTGTGCGATATAAATGCATATATACGTACATGCTGTGTGATGATGTTGATAAACATCATAGCACGTATTTACGCACCGAAAATGCTTATCCTACCAGAATTGAAATATCAATGACATTCACGTGCCATGATGAATAAGCGATATTAGATATTGGAAATTTAATATTTTACGTCTCGGATCAATATAATTTATGTTTAATATAAACAAAGATGAACATGGAACAATATGAAATAATTTCGTTAGAATTTAAAAATATAATTATATCTTCTACGCTGTAAAAAATATGTAAAATATTACATGTAATATTATATTTTTTTACAGTGTAAATATAAATATAATTCCATTTAATGCAATCCACTAGATTAAAAGAAAATTCTTAATTATATTGAAGAAAAAGAGGAACTGTCATAACTATCTAAAATTTATCATAAAAGACAACATACACATATAGAAAAATATTTATACAAAAATTTATATATAACTCTTTTAATTTATAATTTATATAATTATATACGTGGTATTATATTTTTATTTAAAGAGAGAATCGATATGAATGTGTTATAAAATAAAATTTTATGCGTATTTCCGCTGCAAAAGTGCTTGTCTTTCTAACTAAGAAGATCATCATTATAATATATGTATATTAGCTTAGATTATATAAGAGAGACTTTCACTCAACTGATTCAAGTAAAGTTCACAAAGAGAAAAAGCAATAGAAAGATAAATAAAGCCAAAATATTCTGGAGAATCTGGTTCGTGGATCAAATTATAACAAAAATGTAATGTACATATATATATAAATACAAACTCTTTAGTTGTACCGGAGTTAATTAGACAAAAAATGCTTTTAATTATTCTTTTTATTTTACTCTATTTTTTAAATTATTTTCTTTCAAATATTTTTCTAAACTATTCAGATCCGATTCTTCGAATTGTTCAAGATTTTATACAGATTAATATATGTCTCGGCTAGCTGTCTTTCACCTGGTTATAGCATACGAAAGGAATTATTCCCATGCTCTTTATAATATACATATATCTGTAACACGCAACACGCGCAGTAGCAGCAACGGCAATTATCTGCGGATTTATGAAGAGGAAGAGGAATGAAAAACTTGGGCTCTCTACCGGGTTCCCACGTAGGTCTTTAATTGAAGAAATGTTCAGAAGACAAAAGAATCCGGTGGGTTCGCGCCTTAGAAAGTTACGGCGCATTTTACTTGCAATTATGTAACTCGTAATATAAGTTTGCTACTGATTCACTATACATATATCGTCTTCTGTCACAAATTAGCAGTAGCTATATATGTGTCAATATTCTATATATTCTACAAGCATAAGATTAGAATAACGCATTCATGGTAAATTAAATTGAAAATTAGATAAATATACACAATTAAAAAATTACAATTAAATTTCTATTTCAAAAATTTTAAATAGTTTTATATTTATCGTTTTTATATATATTTATGTAATATTTTATTTTTATAAAATAAAATTTCTTCGTTAAAAAATTGTCTCCGTTGTGCAATGCCACACTTTTGTCGCAATTCGCATTTTGATCGATACTGTTCCAAAGTCGCGAAGGTCATTCAAACGATGACAGTTATGTATTTTTTTTCCGAAACTTTTGAAGTAAAATTTCACGCAAATGCACGAAATAACTTAGTCTTTGATCGAATAACGCAACCCTCGCTCGTATTGTATTCGAGCTTCACTACCGATCTAAGGCTTCCATTGAATTTTGCGTAAAACTCCTCTATCGCTATTGCTATCGCGCGAATATTTTTATGTATAAGAATGAATCAGGACTAACTAAGAATAGTATCATAAATAAAAAAATAAAATGTTTTTTACACACTTAAAAAAATGAAATTTTGTGAATAATTTTGACCGGTTTACTTACGATTATATTAAATGCAATTTGTATGTTAAGACTTATTGAGATATCGTAATCAAAAGATATAAGGAAATAACACTACTGCGAAATAAGGAAATAATATTGTAACAAAAGAAATAAGGAAAGGAGCGTTTCAAAAAAATACTTTCTATGGTAAAGATCTTTGTTGAATAAAACCGCAATACCATGACAAGAAGAATTGATAGATATTAATAGTTTTATATAGAAGATCTAGTGAAGATATTTAACATTTGTAAAAATAATTGCATTTTTAATTAACTTGATAATTGAGAATAAATGGATATATAATTGTACATATCTTAAAAATATATGCTTAATACATTTTTAAAATATAGTATATTTCGTATAAAATTTCTGATTTTAAATAATCATAATGTATCAAAAGTTAAAATAATTGTGCTGCTAATTAATGATTTTATCTCCAATGCACATTTCTTTATCACTTATGTCAAATTCAATTAAACAAATGGTTTAAGACTCATCCATGACGTGTGATAATGACAATCCGATAATATTCTATGATTAGTTTATAAGTTGTGTGCACGCATTTTCATAAAATTCAAGCTTATAGGTGCATGGAAGCAATTGAAGGAACGTCACAATCTTATCATTACAAGGTCGTTTTGAAATGTGTGATTCATGCTGACATGGATTTCTTAAGCAAAAATCTAATTGAACTATTCGTTATGTGTAGTTTTTCAAAATTTGTCAACATTAATATTTGAAATATGAAATATGAAATAAAGTTTCTAATATATGTCGTGATAAGGACTTT